CAGAACTTGCTATGCATAGCAGCCCAACTTAAACTGACTCAAATAATTACAAAACAATTCTCTCTCCCATTTCCAAGAACTGTAAGAAATGTGCAACTGGAATTTATAAGAGCAAATCTATGCTAAACACATACACACATTTTATAGTGGTTACAGACATACTCTTTCCAGCTTTCATAATTCTCGGTGTTCTAAGATTTCAAAAACACTAAATACAAGAAATTTCATTTTGGTTGCAATGTAGAAGATAAACATTTTCCAAATATTATTGTAAGAGTTTTAGATCAATGCATAATAATAGTACAGAACATAAGGAAAAATCAAATCCTTAGGCATTAAAAACAACAACAACATGGTTTAACCTAAGTACAAAAGGCCAGAGAAAACTGTCATAAAAATGAAAATACCAAAGCACCAAAAATATGCAATACAAAGTATCAGAAGCATGGAACTGGAGACAAATAATGTTAGCAAATGGGAGGAAAAGGATGAAGCAAAGAAATTTTTAAGAGATGTATCACCAGAAAGTCATCTTATACTTCAATTTGTTAATCTTCTAAAGAATTTAAATTGAACTTCATAAATAATCCAAGGCAACTATCCATGACAAAATGAAATCTAACCAACTCTACATTTTTTTCCCTAGAAAGTAGCTGAGCTTTGACTACTCAATCTCCCCAAGAAAATATTTTCAAGTTGCTTCTTCAAGGTAGACACACTAGCTATTTTATCACTTGATTAATTTTCCCTTATTAACAAAATGGAAAAGTTAATTATCAACAAATAGAAAGTTTTGCTTTAGATGGAAAAGAAAGAACATATAAAAACAAAACCTCAGTCCAGTTTGGTTTTAATAAAAATGATTCATTTTAGAAGAATGAACTTTGTAATCTGACAAACCCTATTTTCTACAAAGATAAATTATTAATAAAAACTTTACTCTAAAAAGAAATTAAATGGCATAATTTAATGATATTCTAGTCAAGACTATCTTCATTCTGAAGAATAGTTTTCTTTCAAATTATTCAAAAATCAGGTAAAATAATTTTACATTGGCTTTTCTATGCTAAAAGGTATACTTTATCTAAAAAGAAATAACATATGGAATAAAACATTTTGGATGTCTGTTGAATACATTTCCTTTTTTATTTCTTTTTCTTTATTCTTCAAAAGAATGAAGGCTTAATACAAATAAACCACTTACCACTGACAAGCAAACTTCTCACTATCTATTTCCACTATTCCTGGTGGTGGAGCGACATGCTGTGCTACAACTGTTCTGGAAGCTAAAGGAAAACACACATTAGCTACATCATTTTTAACACTTACTTACTCTAGAGCACATTTAGTTCATGAATATTACACTAATTAATATGTATAATTAATTTCTTTCAGAGGTGTTACAAATATGTGAAAATACACAAATTTGAGGAAAAAAATGTATAATGGGGCACATATTATATCAGGCCCTGTCTTAGATGTTTCATATGAACTACTTGATTATCCTCATAATCATTCAAATAATTATAGTAGTATGGATGATTTAGCTAATACAACTCTGGTTCTACCCATGGGCCAGATCCTGAACTAAATATTTTACATATGTTACTTAATTTCTTCTCTAAGGTAGTACACACAAGGAAATTGAGGCTCAAAGTCATTAAAATAATGGGCTCAGAGTCATACAACTTAACACATAAATAAATAAGCATCTCTCAGTTTAGTTACAGAAGCAGAATATATCAAAAATCATAATTTCACTTCTGCATTTAAAAGACTAATATTTGGGTTGCCCCTGGGGCCTATTGGCTGGGGTAGTTGGATCTTTGGTTGGAGTACCTGTCCAGGTGGCTTGAAAACACCACGTGTTTTTGTGCTTTTGTGCTCAAAAATCCCATCAGGAGGGAGAAATGGAAGAGATGGGATTATGGCATGACCAAATCTTACTGGGAGCTGCTTTCTTCCCCCTCTTTCTCCCTTTCTATCTCTGGCAAGTACACATGCCCTCTGGCAATGAACAAAAAAAGAAAGAATAAAAAGAGACTAAAAAAAGACAAATATTAATCAATAAGTGGCATATATAAAATTTCTGGTATAAGCTAAACTATAATTAAGCTCCACATTCAAAAAAAGATTTTCATAGCTTGTTCTTTTGCAGAGGAAAACAAAAGGGAGTGATATGTTGTAATAACAGTTTTTAATTTTGAATTACATTTTTTCCTGAAAAGACAACACAGTTATATGAAAATGTACTGGCTATTAATCCAAGGACATATATTTCTAAAATTCCACCTGTTACATATTTTTATTTTTTTAAATTTTGCCAGAGGGGGGCTGGCAAGTGGTATGGTAATTACAGGTGCTGGATGCCTACATGCCTGACTGTGGTTCGAGTCCCAAACTGGGAGGCTTGCTTTCTCACTTTCTCTCTCTCTTTCTGTCCCTCTCTGGTCAAATTAAAATAAGTAAATAAATAAAATAAAAAGTTAAATAGAATAATTCTTTAAATTCTTTTTTTTTTTTTTTGCCAGCAGCCACATGCACTTGGTAGAGACAGAGACAGAAACAGAGAGAGACAGAGAGAGAGAGAGAAAGAGAGAGAAACAGAGAAAGCAACCCATGGGGATGGTCATGCTGCATTCCCTCCTCCATTTCTCCTTCCTTTTGGGATTTTGGGCACGCACTCACTCGCTCCCAGTGTTCCTCAAGCTTCCTGATCTGCACATGTGCGATCCACCTTACCACAGGCTTCACCAACCTGTGACATATTTTAAAAACAATTTCAAGGCCAATGAATAAATGAAGTAAATCATCTCTCATTTTCTAAAAAGTTAAACAGGTCTGTAGAAAAACAAATATATTTAATCTTTTCCATTATGTTATTAAAAGGAACTAATGAACACAAAGAAAATTAGAAGATAATAAAAAGTCACCTCATAATAAATTCTAAACATAAATCTTACACATACAGAAGTAAAAATTAAATTATCCTGTTTCATCATTAAATCAGCATTATTTTGTAGTGGCTAAATTTTGAAAAGGTTTTTGTGATAGGGCATGTGCACTCACCTGAGAGAGTCAGAGAAAGATAAAGAGAGGGAAAGTGAGAAATAACCCCACGAGGGGATGGCCATGTCACAGTCCCTTCTACTCCTTTCTTATCTTGGGATTTTGGGCACGCACGAACACACAGCCAGCTTGTTTTTCAAGCCACTGGGTCTCAAATGGGTCAGTCATGTAGGAATCCAGCAACTTAACAACCATACTACCTGTTGGCCCCTACTTTGTAGTTTTTCAACATAGAGAATATACATACTTTTTTCCAGATATCATTTTAGCAAAAATTTTCAGAAACCTAAAGAAGTACTTTTCTACATTATTGGCATTACAGGAGCTCCAAAGCATAGCAGTCAGATCTGTGAATGATCTGAAGTAATTAAGTCCTTTGATGGGGCCCTCAGGCATTTTGGGGTAATGGCTAGTAGCATCCATTAAAAAAAAAAAAAAAATGAATGTGTGTGTGTGCGTGTGTATACACACACACACACACACGCACACTATATTTACTTAATCTTATTTATAAGTTTATGTTTAATCATCCATATTTTACAGATTAGAAAACTAAAACTGAGAGATTAAGTTCACATAGGAACATATGATGAAGATAGAGATGGGTATAGATGGAAAACCTTCTTTAATAAGTATGGAAGGGGGCTGGCAGGTGGCATTGTGGTTAGGGATACTGGACTCCCACATGGCCGAAAGTGGTTTGAGTCCTGGACCTGTAGGTTTGCTTTTTCACTTTCACTCTCTTTCTCTCTCTGTGTGTGTGTCTCTCTCTGGTAATATTAAAATGATAATAATAAATAAATTTAAATAAAAGAAGTATGGACGGGGAGACCAGCAGATAGTGTAATGGTTACATCACTGGACTCCCACATGGCTGACCATGGTTAAAGTTCTAGACCTGGTGGCTTGAAACTCATACTGGGTGCATGCATTTGCATGCCCAAAATTCTGAGCAGAGAATGAAGAAGGCACTGTGGCCACCTCCCCTGGGGAGTGATTTCTTGCCTTCTGTCTCTCTGGAGAGTACACATGCCCTATAGTAAAAAATCTCTCTCTCTAAAAAAAAAAAATAAAAAAAAAAAAGAAGTATGGATGGGTCTGAATATAGGTCTGTCATATTTCAGAAGCCATTCTATGATATGTTGTTTCTTAAGAGAATATAATAATTAGTACCAATGTCATCTTCCCCATGACAATCCCAGCATGAATTTTCCTCTCCTAAATTGGTAATACTAAACAAAATATCTATCTGGGGTCAGAACTTATATAAAAATCTTCTTCTCTTTTTTTCATCACTTGTACTATGAAACAGTATACCCCACCCAGATGAAATCCCAAGTCTATTAATAATTTCATGAAACAGTAGTCAACATACTAAAATTATGAAAAACTTTTATAAACGATGCATAGGGGCCAGCTGGTGGCACAGCAACACAACAGTCTATAAAGCTGAACGAACACAGGAAACTCTCAGGTTTGTGTCCTGGAGCCTTTCTGTGTACTCCAAATACATGCCAATGATCTGGGATGGACAGAGCTAGAGGTAGATCATGACATGAAGATTCTGTTGGGGATGATTCTTTCTCTAGTGGGAAAAATGAATAAACTTTTAAAAATGTGTAAAGAAGAATGATAAAGTCACTGTTAATTTAAATTGAGGGGCCAGCAGGTGGCATGGTGGTTGGGGTGCTGGACTCGCACATGGCTGAACAAAGTTTGAGTCCTGGATAGACCTGGTGGCTTGCTTTTTCACTTTCCCTTTCTCTGTCTCTCTCTGGTCAAATTAGAAAATAAAAATAACAAATAAAGTTAAATAATTCTTTTAAAAAAGTAATATAAATTGGAAATGTACCATTACTATAAAAATATCCTGAGAGTTTCCTTTAAAGACATTACAAATGATACAAAGACACTTATACTTTGAAAGGAATCAATTTTCAGATACTCAACTTTTATATTTAGTCTTTCCTAAAATTACACATGATAGAACAACAGCAACTAGAACAACAGCAACAATAGAACCTTTAAAAATATAAAAAAATTGTATTGATCTAAAATAAATTTTTAATATTTCAATTTTTCTAACCCATTGGTCCTCAAAGTTTAGTCACCAGACCTGTAGTTCCAACATCTCATGGCAACTTATTAGGAAGAAAATCTCAGATCGTAACTGATTCAGAAACTCAGGTTTGGTACCCAGAATCTATTTTATTAAGCCCATCAGGTAACTAAAATACTCTAAAGTCTGAGAAGCACAGTGCTAAAACTTCTTGAATATTTTAAGGGTGCACAGATACATCTAAGTAAAAGAATACCAAATATAATTATATCTTGTTAATATTTTTTCTAAATATTCTCCAGAAACTTAAAAAAAAAAAGTGTCTAATGACTGGGTAATAAATACTTTACAAGTCAGGTACTTGTTAATTCTTCGATTTCAACAAAAACAAGGAGAGAATGCAAGTAGTCTGATAATCATGAAAAATAAATTCAATAGCTCTTGAACAATTCTAAAGAAGATCAAAGTATTTTAAGTTCTATCCTCATCTATTTATCAATGTGAAGCAGATTATTTAACTAGAATTTGTTCAACTTGCGCCTATAAAAAAACAGGAATAGAACTTATACAGCTTACTTTTTAGAAATAATGTTTAGTCAGAGATTCACTGGATAATAGCTTCCAGAGAACTGGTGCAGGGTAGGAGGGGATCTCCTCAATCTCATTACGAGAGGTCTTTCTAAAAATTTTACTTTTGGGGCTGGCAGGTGGAATGGTTGAGGCGCTAGACTCCCATATGGCTGACCACGGCTCGGGTCCCGGACTTGGCGGCTTGTTTTCTCACTTTCTCTCCCTCTCTCTTACCCTGTCCCTCTCTGCTCAAATTAAAAAAATAAGAATAAAAAAATTAAATGATTTAAGTTAAATAAAATAATTCTTTAGAAAATTTTTTTTAATATTAATTCTTCCAATTTTATTTCATATTGCACATTTTTCTTTACATTTAATTGTTGTATATTTTTGAGGTACAATATGGTTTTTCAAAGTATACATGCATTTAATGATAATGGGTTGTCAAAAAGTCATGATGTACTTTTGCATTAAAATTATAGAAAAAAATACATCATGACTTCTCTGACTACCCAGTATTTATATCAACTTGTATTTACTTTTGTTAGATGTACTATTACTAAAACTTATAATGTTAAAATAGGTTTTATAGCTAAAAAGTATGAATAATGTGATGAATAAAAGACTTCAAGCATAGGGGGCCAGCAAGTAGCATGGTGGTTAAGGTGCTGGACATTACCACATGGTCGACCACGGTTCTAGTCCCAGACCTGTTGACTTGCTTTCTCACTTTCCCTTCCTCTCTCCCATACTCTGGTCAAATTAAAATAAATTAATGAATAAATAAAAATATATAATTCTTTAATAAAAAAGAGACAATCTGTTAAAAAAAAGACTTCAGGCATAAAATGTATTACAATAGAATAAAATTCAGTGAGATATTGGAATATAGATTCAAGGTCAAAGAGCGATGTTGTAAAACCATTAATGTTAAAGAGTTTGTGTACTTTTTTAAGAGAGATTTTTTGCTATAGGGTGTGCACATTCACCAGAGATACACACAGAGAGAGAGAGCCAGAGAGAGAGAGAGAACCAGAGAGAAAGAGAGAAATAAAGAAACACCCCCCCCCCCAGGGGGAATGGTCATGTGGCAATCCCTTCTCCTCTACTCTCCTCTTGGGATTTTAGGCACACATGAACCTGGTGTGAGTTTCAAGCCACCAGGTATAGAACTTGAACCATGGTTAGTCATGTAGTAGTCCAGAGCCTTAACCACTATGCCACCAGCTGGCCCCAAGTTCGTGTATTTTTTACATGAATGATATCAAAATTTCACTGGATACCAAAAATGTTCAAATTGTTTTCTTTAAAAAAAATCACTTTAATATACATCAAGAAAATATATTATTTGCAACTAGTTAAATTATAATAAATAAACTTAGATGTGAAATTAAAACTGGACAAAATGGTACAAAAGTTTTCATAGAGATGAGTTTAAGGACCTTTCCATAAAAGATTGGCATTTAACTATGGTGAGGGGAACAAAACTGCAAAGCATAACTGATCAATTTAAAGTTGTCATTTAGAGTAAGTATAAGTAACAAAGTGTTCTTCAGCTCAAAAATGAATTCTTTACAACCCAGTCATGGTGGTGCAAGTGGTAGGTTGCTGCCACACTACATATGGCTGGGGCTACACAGAAGGCCAAGGTTTGGATTCTGGAACAACCTGAACAATCTAGGCATGGTGGTGGATGCCAGTAAATTCTAGTTAACTTCAAGACTGGGCCAGAGGATATCAACTGTAAGACCCTGTCAAGCAAACAAAAAAATCCCTCTCTCTCATAAACAAAGAACTCGGGTCACTAGAGGCCACTCCCATCTCTATCAGTTAATTAAAACAAATTAGTAAGTCACAAACTCTCAATGTTTATTTTTGTCCATTTGCAAAATAAGGACCAAATCTTAGGTTAGGGAGTGGATTTATCTGTTGAGGTTAAATAACTGGTAAGTTCAGGACCAGCAGATGGTGAAATGGTTATGTTGCTGGACTCCCATTTAGTTGGCCACAGTTCAAGTCCCAGACTGGGTGGCTTAAACTCATGCCGGGTCAAATACCAGGAGAGTATTGGGAGACATACACACACACACACACACACACACACGGACACCCAGCATAATTTTCAAGCCGCCAGGACTCAAAGTATGGTTGGTCATTTGGGAATCCAGTGCCTTAACAATTATGCAACCTGCTGATCCCTGTATTATGTATTTTGCACAGTGTATAATTTTAATACAGTCAGTTAGCTTAGAAAAAAATGTGGACCATGACTAAATGTGGGGAGACATTTAGAGAGATATGAGTCAGAACTAAGCTATAAAAATAGAGGAAGATATAGTATTTAGGAAGACTCAACAAATCTGGGGAATAAATGGATCTGATTAGGGATAATGAGCTTTTGGGGCTGGCAGGTGGCATGGTGATTAAAGAGTGCTGGATTCCCACATGGTCGACTGTGGTTCAAGTCCCAGGCCTGGCAGCTTGATTTCTCACTTTGCCTCTCTCTCTCTCTCTCTCTCTCTCTCTCTCTCCCTCTCTGGTCAAGTTAAAATAAATTAGTAAAAATTAAACAATAAAAATAATTATTAAAAAAAGGATGAGAGTATTATTATTATTATTTGGAAGTTCTGAGGAACAATGAGAAAGACCTGAACGGAAAATTCAAACAGAGAAAGAGAAGCTTAAAAAACAGGACTGAAGAGATGGGAAAAACTGCTATTCAGAGCACATATTCAGAAGTTTAGCCTCTCTTTCTAAAACAAAGGGAAGTTAAAGAGAATGAGTTCAGACAACAGTAAGTTTATAGGTAAAGAGGGAATGAAGTTGAAATATTCACTCTAGGGACCAGCAGTTAGCATAATGGCTATGTTGCTGGACTCCCACGTAGTCGACCATGGTTCGAGTCCTGGACCCGGCGACTTAAGCTCACACCGGGCGCTTGTGCGTGCGTGCCCAAGATCCCGAGAGAAGAATGGAGGAGAAGGGATTGTGGCGTGGCCATCCCCTCTGAGGGGTGATTTCTCGCTTTCTGTCTCTCTGTCTGTCTCTGGCTGGCTGGCGAGCACACACGCCCTATAGCGAAAACCTCTCCAAAAAGAAAAAAAGAAAAAGAAAGAAATATTCACTCTACACAGCTTCCATATTAACTGCAAAATGAGAGGTGAGATCAACTGAGAAAACAAGGATCCTTTTTTATAAAACGTACAATGAAGAGAAGTGTCTAAGAGACAGGATGAGGTAGGAGAGTAAGAAAGGCAGCTGAGGTGAAAGATGGATTGTTTCTGTTAGAACGAATGAAGATAAAGAACTCTACAAAAAGGCTGAGAGTGCTCAAACATAAAAGTGATTACTCATAATGAGTTAGGAGAAAGAAGCACAAGACTGACAAGAAAGCTGTTTATTACAGATATTGGCACTATATTAAAGATATCTGAGTTAAGTAGAACTAAATGAAAGGATCCTAGGAATGGTGTGTAAGTGCAGGTATACATGCTTATATATGTGTGAATGTACATATGTACATGTTTCCTCCTAGGCTCTGATTCTGTATTGGGTCCAACATTTAAAGGTGTTGAGGTAACAGTTATTTACCCTGATGATCACCTAAGTAGTAATGTATGATTATCCTATTCCATCAATTGCCCATGACCAAAATCACAAATAGTAAGCTCACTAGGAAACCTTTTCTATCTTTTTGTTTAAAATTTGGCTGTAGGGCACACTGTTCAGCAGGGACAGAGAGAGAGAAGATTTTTTTAGAGAGAGAAGGTAAGTGAGAAATCACAACCCAGCAGAGCATTTGGCCACACTGCAATCTCTTCTCCTCCATTCCCCTTTGGAAATCTTGGGAATGAACACGTATGTGACTGGTGTGATCTTCCTGTCCTGGTTCAAGGACTTGCATCACAATTATGGCCATGTGAGATCCAGTGCCTTAACCTCTATGCCACCTGCAGACCTTCATTGGAAAATTTTTTAATGTTCTAAGAACTATGAATACCTAATCCCTTAAACGATTCTAAATCCTTTTTGACTTTATGCATCTATTATGTTATTTTTCCTCTGTGCTCACTTTGATCCTGCTACAACTGGAATATATATCTAAGAAATTAGAGTACAGGGACAAGCAGATGGCTTAATGATTATACCACTGGACTCCCACACAGTCTACCGAAGCTCAAGTCCTGGACCTGGTGACTTAAAACTAACACTGAGCATGTGTGCATGTGTGTCCAAAATCCTGAGAGGAGAATGAAGGAAAAGGGACTGTGGCATGGCCAACTTCCCTAGGGGGTGATTTCTCACTTTCTGTCTCTCCGGCGAGCACACGAGCTCTATAGCAAAAATCTCTCTAAAGAAAGAAAAGAAAAGAAAAAAATAGAAAAAAAAAATCAAGAGTACATGTATAAATATTTCTTTAGCCTATCTACTGCTCAATATAAGTTCTGTACATTACATATTTAAATTTATCCTTAGTATTAAATCTTACTCATAACCATACTTGAAAAGAATATGTAAAAACACTGACCTGGGGTAGAAGCTACATGGGTCTGGGTTGGGACTTGCTCTATAGCTTGTGGTCTGATTTCAGATAAAACTTGAGGACTGGAACTTGGATGTTCGACGAGTTTTACTGCAGCTAGTGCATCAGAGCCAAACATCTGAATATCCATAGAAACCAGACACACTAACATGTCTAAAATAAATTTTTAAAAAATCATATATTATAAAACAATGTCATCACTAAGAACACACATGTTGCACAGAATACTGCTTCCCCAATGCCTGTTCACTAATCATTATACATCGGAAGTACGCTTGGATCTTCAGAAAAAAAAAATTTAGGCTTAATCTCTGAAGATTGATTTGGTTACTCTAGAGTGGAAGCTAATTATATATATTTTGAAAACCTTCCAGAGAATATCTGACATAGAGACAGATTTAGAACCAATGATACAAAAAATAGTATCTTAATATCTTAATTTCTCAATAATTATAATTTTTAAGCTACATTTCTATTAACTCTCCTTTAGTATTTATATCCAAGAACACATCATTTAATCACTGAGTAAAATGTTAACATGGCATGCTTTAGTTAAGTATGTTTAAAAATGACAACCTTTAAAGAGGCGAGTTCACTGATTTTTAAAGACAGTACCAAAATCAGCAACTTCTGGAACAGAAAGAAGCTGCTTTATATGACAATAGCTGACCATGTGAAATAGAAATATCTGTTCCCAGAGATCACACAGAGCAGTTTAGTCAATTTCAAACATAATATAATAATGAAAATAAAGAGAAATAGGGGTTATTGGAGCCACATAATCCTGTCTCTACATGATAGATGTTTCTTCCTCATCTAGAACAGGCGGAAAGAAAAATACAAATATATATAACTGGGTAATGACTCCTCAAAGTAGAACAGTAAACCCAAAATACCAATTAAGGATTTTGTACAGTAACATATTAAATACTTTTCCTCAAAAAGAAAATAACTTAAGTATTTTTTGTTCCAGACTTACCTATGCTCTTTTCTACTTTTGCAATTTTTGTGCAAGCAACATCTCCCATTTCAGTAAGCATGTATAGCACCTCAAGTGTTGAAATTACAAGCAGCACATCAGGTAAAGTGAGATGACAAATGATCTCTCTGTAAGAATCCTGATCCACATATTCACAAATTAAAACACCATTATCTTCTGCTTTACATAGATTTCCCAAAATTTCCATGCCTGAAAAATACACATGTGTATTTTTTTTTTCAAAAGATAAAGTTTGTTCTTTTAGACAATAAAAACCTTAGGTATGCACTCACCCCTCATCTTTAAAAATCTATCCCTTGACATTAGGCATTTTGTAACAGTATGAAACATCAGATGAGTAGTTTTGAAATCAACAGGGTCCAATAAAAGCTGGAGAAAAACATAAGAGAACACTGTTGTTGAGGTATGCTTATTCGAGAGCTATAAATTTCAAATTTTACAAAGAGGAACAAAATAAAATGATATATAACTCTAAAAAAAATGTAACTTTAGTGAGAATAGCTATGACCAAATTTGAACTATCATTTCCAATTTTTCCCCTACAAAAGTACATTATACTTCTACTACTCCTCTTTTAGCAACAAATACATGTAAGCATTTAATATTCTATAAATATGGTAACTATAAAATGTCTCAACCTAAATTTCAAAGTAAATGTTGCTAACTATAACAACTATTTTAAGGTACTTTCATATACTTACCTCAGCTGCAATATTTCCTAATGTGTCAAGGCCTAATTGCCTTAAAGAAATAAAATGACTATGTGCAGAAAGTAATAGGAAACGAAGACAGGTACGATTAGCTGCCAAGAGCTTAACATTGCCCTCCTCAAAGGAAAGATTTCGCAAAATCACTGCAATCTGAAGTACCCGTTGTCCTTCAATATCGTTAATGCCCAGCTTTCGAGGTGGATGAAATAAAGATTCCCAAATCAATTCTCCTGATGTACCTTCTACAACAACAACAAAAAACAAATTTCACTTTGATATTTCATTTATTATTCATATTTCAAAATTATTTAATTAGCTTGCACTGACTTACCATGAGACTTGTTTCTGTCAGAAATGAGGTCACGAACTTCATTATCATCAACAATATCTTTCCAAAACTGTAATGAGAAATTATTATATTGAACTTTGATAATCTGAAATAACTTTTTTCAAGTTTTTACCATAGGGCACGGGCACTCACTGGAGAGAGACAGGGAGAGACAGTAAGAGGGAAAGTGAGAAATCTCCCCCTAGTGGGGATGGCCATGCTGCAATCTCTTCTCTTGGAATTTTGGGCACAAACATACACCACACTGGCAAGCTGCCGGGTCCAGGTCTCAAACCACAGTCTGTCATATGAGAATCTAGTACCTTAAGCACGCTGCCATCTCCTGGCCCTGAAACAACTATTCTATAAATGTAAAAACAGTTGCACAGAGCTGGTGCTGTAGCTTGGCAATTAAGCACTGCACAGAAGTCAGATCCCTCAGGGCCAACCATGGTTCAATTCCTACCCTTAGCAACCTGAAAAACTCAAATGCCCACGATCCTGATGGAATAGAGAATTAAAGGCAAAAATGACTGTACCATGCAGACTCTACTCGGGAATGCTTTTTTCTTTCTCCCTTTTTTTCTCTTGTGCATACATATCATCTAGCATTTAAAAAGTTACACAGCTTTAATATTTAACATTTTTTAAAAAAATTCATGTGTATAAAATTACATTCTATGCATTTAATTTTCTGACATAAATGCATAATTTTCTGTAAGATATTTGTAAAGCAAGGTATCTTTCTTTTTTTTGGGGGGGGGTTTGCTATAGGGTGTGTGCACTCGCCAGAGAGACAGAAAGCGAGAAATCACCCCCCAGGGGGAAGAGCCACGCTACATTCCCTTCTCCTCCATTCTCCTCCCGGGATCTTGGCTGGGCATGCACGCACACGTGCTTGGTGTGAGTTTAAGCCACCAGATCCAGGACTCAAACCGTGGTCGACTACATGGGAGTCTAGCAACATAGCCATTACACCAACTGCTGGTCTCAAGGCATCTTTTTTTTCTAAAGAGTGATTTTTGCTACAGGGCACGTGAGCTTGCCTAACACACACACACACACACACACACACACACACACACACACAAAGAGCGAGACAGAAAGTGAGAAATCACCCCCCCAGGGAGGATAGCCATGCTGTAATCCCTTCTCCTCCATCTTCTTCTTGGGATTTTGGACATACATGCACACACACTTGGCTGAATTTGAAGCCACCAGATACAGGACTCGGACCATAGTCAACTAAGTGGGAGTCCAGTAACATAACCATTATATCATCTGCTGGTCCCAATAAGGTATCTTTTAGCCCAGCTGTTCTTTTTTTTTTTTTTTTTTGAGAGAGATGTTTGCTATAGGGGGCGTTTTTCACCATAGGGCACGTGTGCTCGCCAGACAGACTGAGAGAGAGAGAGAGAGAGATAGAAAGCGAGAAATCACCCCCCAGGGGGGATGGCCACGCCACAATCCCTTCTCCTCCATTCTCCTCTCAGGATCCTGGGCACACACGCACACGCACCCAACATGAGTTTAAGCCACCGGGTCCGGGACTCGAACTGCAGTCGACTACATGGGAGTCCAGTGACATAGCCATTACGCTAACTGCTGGTCCCAGCCCAGCTGTTCTTAACTTGGGAGCCACAGACTACCAAAAGTCCAGCACAAAAAAATTAAGCCACGAGTGAGCTTGGATTAAGGGTGAAAATGACATTTTTATGTTTATTAAGCTATAACTGAAGGATAGCATTTTGTTACCATATTTTTCAACTCCAAATGTTAGGCAACAAACCATAGTGATATTAGCAATACCCAAGACATTGTGACCAATATAAACCATATTTAAGTTACATTCTAGTATTCCATGTATACAGACTATTTTTTGATCCACATATGAGCAAGATGAGTCAAAATGCACTCAATTATTTAATATTCTTTTTCATATTAAAATCAAATGACATTACAGTGATATCTGTACAGAATAAACTTTGCCAATGCCTCTTAATTATTGCTTATGTATTAATAAAGAAGCATATGGGCTATCTACTTTTTATTTCTAAACATTATGATATGTGAATTTCAAAATAATTGTTATTTGGAATCACAGTTCTGATGCATGTAAAGCTGCTAGTCTGAGAAGAGGTTCACAGACTTCATGAGGCCACCAAAAGAATCCACTGAACAAAAACAAACAAAAAACCCTCATAATTAACAATGCGTGGTAACAATTTTTAAAAAAGAAAGAAAGAAAGCAAGCAAGCAAGAAAGAAAGAACGAACTGTGCCTACAAGAAGAAAAAAACAATGTAGCTAACTAGTGGCATGGTGGTTAAGGTGGCTGGACCCCACATGGTCAACTTCCCACTTCAAGTTCCGGAGCTGGTGGCTTGAAAAACATGTTAGGTGTGGGGACCAGCAGTTAGTGTAATGGCTATGTCACTGGACTCTCATGTAGTTGACTGCAGTTTGAGTCCTGGACCTGGTGGCTTAAACTCACGCTGAGAGTGTGTGCGTGCGTGCCCAAGATCCCGAGAGGAGAATGAAAGAGAAGGGATTGTGGCATGGCCATCACCCCTGGGGGGTAATTTCTCGCTTTCTGTCTGTCTTTCTGGCGAGACCATGCACCCTATAGGAATAAACCTCTACAAAAGAAAAAAAAAAACATGCTAGGTGCATGTGTGTATGTGCCCAAAATCCTAAGAAGAGAACACAAGAACAGAGAATGGCATGGCCATTTTCACTGGGAGGTAGTATCTCTCTGTCTATCAGTAAGTGCCCATGCTCTATAACAAAAGTAAAACACTATGAAGACCAGCAGACGGCATAACGGCTACGCAACTGGATCTTCACATAGTCAACCATAGTTTGAGTCCCAGACCTGATGGGTTAAAACTCATGCTGGGTGCGTATGCATGTGTGCCCAAAATCCTGAAAGGAGAATGAAGAAGGGATTGCAGTATGGCTATCCCACCTAGAGGAGTGATTTCTCACTTTCTGTCTATCTCTGTCTCTGGTAAGCACATACATCTCAGAGCAAAAATCTCTCTATATAAAAAGGGAAAATTAAAAAAAAAACTTAAAACACTATGTTTAATTTAGAAGAAAAAAGGGGCACAGGAAATACAATAGTAAGTCATAAGACATGGAACTTAAAATAACCATGGATAACAAGTTCAAAGGAATAAAAGAATGAGAATTATGGCAAAGAAGTAGAAACTTTAAGAACTAAATTGAAATGTTAGAACTGAAAAAATTAACAATTGAAATTAAAAACTCAATGGATGGGCTTAACAATTGATTAGATACAACACAAGAAAGAATTAGAAAACTAAATAGAGAGCAAGAAAATATCAAGTTTGGGATAAAAGGACGAACAGAAAGAAGGCACAGGTGTCAAAGGTCATTCGGCAAAAAGTTCCAACACACAAATAATTGCAGTTCCTAAGAAACAAAAGAGAAAGAATGTGAAAAAACAAGATGTGAAGAGAGAAAGGCAGAGAATTTTCTAATACAACTAAAAGACATAACCTACAAATTTAAGAAGCACTATAACCACCAAGAAAAATAAATTTAATTGTTTAGGGCCCTAGCTATAGTAGAACACACTACATATTGGTATTTGGCAAGATGAAGCCAAATGGGATGCCTAGGTTCAGTTCCTGATCCACTCTTTAAAAAGCTGGGTATAGGGACACAGACCTGTAATTCTAGCTACTAGAGGGTACAAAGATGGCCTACAAATTCATAGTCAGCTTGGGCAACACAGTGAAATCCTTCCCGAAGAAGCCAGAATGGGGGACCAGCAGTTAGCATAATGGCTATGTCGCTGGACTGCCATGTAGTCGACTGCAGTGTGAGTCCTGGACCCGGAGGCGTGTGTGTGCGTGCCCAAGATTCCAAGAAGAGAATGGAGCAGAAAGGACTGCGGTGTGGCCATCCCTTTTGGGGGGTGATTTCTCGCTTTCTGTCTCTCTCTTCTCTCTGGCAAGCGCACGCGCCCGATAGCAAAAACCTGTGGCTCTACCTACTCAGGACAAGGCAGGAAAATCACAACAAAGTGAAACTGTCGAAAACCCTACACACATACATGCAAGCTTTCTCACTATTTTACACATTCACACACACTAAGTAGGATCACAGTAAAACAATGACAGAGAAAAGTCATTAATGTAAGTAAAAATAAAAACAAAGAACCTTGAATAAGGCAATAAAAAATAATAGCAGACTTTGTAAAACAAACAAAAAAGAAGAAAACCAGAAGATAATGGGATATTTTCAAAATACTGGAAGAAAATATTTGCCAATCTAAAATTTTATACAGTTAAATTGTTCAAGAAAAAAGGTTAAAAAAGGCATTTCCTGACCCCCCCCAAAAAAAAAACTGAGAAAACTCATTATCTGTAAACTTGCTCTTATGAAAAAGGTAAATATGGTTAAACCAAAATGAGTACATATGAAATAAAACACTAAAAAAATCTTATGGGGTAAAAATATATGTAAAATTAAAATTCTGAAAAAGCTCTGAAGACAATTTTGTTCAGACTATAATGGAAGAACTAACAGTGAAGCAGTTATCATACCATAAACTAGTGCTCCTGAAAAAATTATTTTCAGAGACTGGACAACAGATAATATAAAAGTATAGTCACTGAAATAAAGAAAATAAATTAGGTGAGCCCAATGATTATCCCATATTACTACATAAACATAATTTCTAGAATAAGGCATAGTGACAAAACCCCAAGAGATCATAGTGACTGCTAAGCTGAGGAGACATCAGCAAGATGAAGACAGCTGGAATTTGATAGTGAAAATTTGAAATAAAGGGGCTATATAAAGAGCTCCTTGAATTTACAGAAGAATGTTTTGAATGTGTAAGTACCTAAGCTTACACATGTGCATGATCAAACACCACAGTACCTGGCAAAAAGTAAAGAGAATACTTTTCTCTATTCCCAGAGAGAAACTCATTAGACTGCCTAGAGCACTCAGTAGAAATCCTCAAAATGCAATAGAGATAAATTAGTCACAAAGTCTAATAATCTACAGCTGCCATAATAAAGCTTAAATACAG